TTGAACCGCATGTGCGGCTCAGGTCGAGACAGGAATTCTTTACTTGCAGAGTGGTGAACGCGTGGAATGCGTTAGATGACGATGTAGTGGCTGCCCCTTCTGTGACTATCTTTAAGAAGATACTGGATGTTTTCATGGACAGGCAAAAAGATGGGGGGCAATGTTGACGTTTGGTACTAGACAGTAAGCAACTAGGATACGAATAAAAAATACAAAAATATTTCGCTTTAAGAGAGTTAGGCCTACCCTAGAATTAAGGAACGCTCGACCTCGACACGTGATATCGAAATGGGTAAAATCGCCTCTTTATATCACTATCTTGAATCTTGAAAAGTTTGTAACGTGTAAAGCCATAGAATCGAAATTCAGATTTTTTGCGGATTTATTGCTTGTTGCACCAAAAACATTATGCAAACTTTAATATATTTTAGAACATATTCTGCCTATGCTACATATATGATATTAGGGCTATAAATTAATAATGCAACAAACTCTCCCTGATACAAATTTCAGAAGTATACCTTGTATTTGTTGGGCGTTACATGTACACTGACAAGCTTTATGTCAACACCCATAGTGCTATTCAGGAGTTCTTCAATCTGGTTTCAAGTTAATCATTTGAGTAATCCCCTCATATATATATTTAACCAGAATAGATGGTCCTCCCAGGGTATGCTCTTGCATCTATGGTTTAAAACTTTGAGCATATAGAGTGCACATGTATGTGTCACACCCTGGGAAAGTATGAAAATGTGAAGATGTTGAACATCAAGGCAATGATTAGTTTAATTAATAATTTGATCAAAAAATCATTTGTCATAAACTAAAAGAAACAAAGTAAAAAATATCATTTCATTTTTTCCTATCATTGCTTCTTAACTCACTCCTGCAGTGGATGTCTATCCACTCCACTTCATTCCACAGAGGATAAAATGTGCCTGAGTATTGATTAGTGAGAGTCACTTGTTTCCCCATATGTTCTTTACATTTCATGTTTTTTCTGGATATTTTCTGTACATTTGGGTTGGCCTTGCTCCAGATTGTTCCTTGCTTTTGATTGGCATCCAAGTTATTGGCAGCCTATAATTTATAGGATGGTAGTACTTGATTAGGATCTGCTCAGCAGTGACTTTCTCAAATAGAGCATTTTCTTTAATGAACTTCCCATTTTACTTCTTTCAATAGATTAGCAAGCTGTGTCATGTCATGCCGTAATAAGTATTTCTGTGAGACAGTAGATAAAACCATTCTCATTTTCAGTGATTAAGCATCCCTGGATCTGAAAAATGTAGTTGTTCAGCAGCTGTGCATATTTGCGCAAGTCCATTGCCAGGCATGGGTTAAGAAATAAGAGGAATTTTGGCAGGAAAGTCTAAAGATTGAGAATTTTGAAAACAATCCAACCTGACTGCTTTTTTAGCTTTGCTCCTTGAGATCTTGTACCATTTTGCTCAATTTGAGCCAAAATGCATTCAACCTGCTGAAATTTGCATTGAAAAGTAGAGATGACTCTTTAAGAATCTTTACTCACCATTTATGATCCTGTCACCTTTCTGGACACCAATGCATGAAGGAGATTCCAGAGTACCAGTAACATTGGATGGATGCACCAGGCTTGATGAAAAAGATTGAACTCGATCTAAGTAGAATTGTGAGGTTTAGGGGGAACTATTCGCCTATGTTAGGGTACTCTGACTTTTTCATTCAATATTTAAAGATTTGAGGGACCGACAGTGACTAAGGTGGTACTGGAGAATTGAACCAAGTTGATTCTACAAGAGGCTAGCATACCGGGCAAACTTTTTAATCCTGTATTTCACATGTTTAGTCCTCCACTTGTAACTTTGGAAGAAGTACTTTCTGAATGTCACTGAATTCCTCACTGGTCCTGGAGGAGATGAGAGAGGTCCTGTACTGTAGTTTCCAAAAATGCCTCATGTATTTGTAACCCATTTAATCATTGCTACTGCCTCTGTTTGGTTTCAGGATTTTCAAATTTGACCTCATGCCTCCTACTGTACTTGTCCCATGCACAACAGATCAACTTGGTGTATCCTCGTTTGGCTGAGTTCTACTCCAGGGCAATGCATGTGCTCATGCTGTGAGAAGCTCTTTTGTTTCTCTGTGAAGTTGTTTTGAAATGAAAAACCTGGACCTGACATGAGAGTGGATTAAGAAGAGTCCACTTTGATGGGAGATGATACAGTTAAGAATGCTTCTGATAGCAGAAATTGAAAACACAAATATGCTAAAGGACATTAGAAGTCATGGAGCAGATCGACTCACGCCTGTCATTGCCCATGAGACGCCTTCTGTTGTAGTCCTTGATGCAGAACATGGTTGCATTGCATGTGACAACGTCCATCTCCATCCATGATGAGTGGCAAGATTTTCTCCCTGGGCCACATTGGAAGCATTGCAGTCCTTCTCCTTTTAAAGCACTTTTTCTCAATGAATGTCTCAAAATGATGCAAGGCATGCATGAGTGAGTTTTTCACCTTGTTGGAGGAGGATGTGGAGGATGATATGATAGAGGAAAAGCATGATGGAACCATGACAGAAAGACACAACCATATTATCATCAGTAGCAAAGAAAAAGGGAAGGTCCTATCCCTTTTCCTTCCCCATATCCCCTTCCTGATAACCTCTTCCTGTTGAGGAAGGGAGGAGACAGTTGGCCTTGCATGAGTCATTATGATGAGGTCAGTGTCATTGGTGGAAGGAGATGCTATTGTTTCATCTCATATCCTTGATCCTGGACTCAGAGATATCACATAGGGTGTCCAACTGAATTTTTATTTCTGAGAAACTGTTACAAGTCCATCCAGTCATAAAAGGTTTAGTGGATGAGTACTTTTTCATGTGCCCATCTTGAAAAAGTCATGGAGTTCATGGATGATGTGTGTTTCTCTCCTCTGATGCACGTAAGATTTGTGAAATACATACTTGTGGCATATTAAGGAAAGGTTTTGTTTGCAAGCCCGTAGGTGGTTCATGGGTCCATGATTTTAATTTAACCAAGACTTGCTGAGGTGGTAGGAATGAGTAACAGAGGTAGGAAAGGTGGTTAGGGATTGAAGGCTGGGCCTGAGAATTTCAAGTCTCGAAAACTAGTGATCACTCATATATGAAGGAAGGTGTTTGTGGAATATGTGTGAGCAACTTTTTAACTTTCTTGATGCTCTTTCAGCCTTGGTTTTTTATTTTAATGTTCTTCAAAAGCATGAATTTTTCTGTGTCTCCATTCAGGCAGCATCAACACCAAATGTCCAGTTAACATTTCCCTGCGAGTTTCTGCGACTGCGAGTGGAAAATCTGGAGGCACACAAGCAGTTGCAGATGACTTGCCGCAGCCTTCGCCTGGCTCCTCCCCCTGGTGCTGCTTCTGCTCTTGCCTCCCGAACTCATGATGAATCTCTCAAAACCCTCTACTTCAGGCAGCAGGTGAATTCATACCCGCTGCTTTCATGGTTCCCCCTGCTCTTCTGAGTAGCTATGCTTATCAATTGAACATGGGAAAAGAATCCAAGCTTTAAGCTTCTGTATCAGTGAGTTGCACCTTTGGTGCTTGGCAATGTAGGCTGATCGATACATTCACCTGAAATGTGTACCATCACTGCTTGCACTTTCCAAAGTAGTGAAGTTCCATGGATTTCAGGCATTATTCAGAATGATGTCAACTTACCTTCAGTTAGGTGATGTCTCTGCCAGATAGTGCAACAGTGCGCAAACGGGGGGGGGGGCGCAAACTTTGATCTTTACATGAACTTTTTCGTGGTATTAGGGAGTTTTAGGGTTCAAATTTGAATAAAATAGAAGAAATGAAGAAAAGCACTTCAAATATAGGACATTTTAAATCCTGAATTGGCCTTTTTTTGTATTGCATTATACTCAATGGTAGTGATTTTAATAAAGTTAACGTTATACTACAAAAACCATATACAGTCGATGCTCGATATAATGAACTCAAAGGGACAGGCTAAAACATTTCGTGTAAGGAAAATTCGTTACTGGGACTTCCGCTGAAAAAAACGCGGCCTCTTCAGCAAAATGCCCTTTATTGCCAAAAAGAGAGGATGCAGTTATCCATTCATGAAAAAATGTGAAGATGCGTGTATCATATTGCAGAAGTACAACCAAGATGCGTATGTTTACGCATAAATGGGCGCGCACAGAAGCGTGTCCTTATGTAGGTGCAATAAAACTCGAACGAGTCACGAACGCTTTGCATTCATCAAATGGTTGTCAGCCGCGCGCTTTCTTGGAGGGTTCTTTGAGCCGTGGTCTGGCAGAGCACTCGATGTGTGAAAAGTTTCGGGCTTAACATTTGACCTGAAAGAAAAATAGCCTGAGATAGTTAAAGGCTTCGATTGCATGACCGAGCAGAATTTCAGACCCGGCCTGTCCCTGATCCTTAAGATCCTGAGAAGATTAAGACCAACTGACGTCGCTCCCTTACTCCCCACATCCAAACCAATAAGAGGGTGGGACATGCTACGTTTAGGTATGCGATGAGATTTTCCAGGATTGCGAGAAAGTAGCTCTGAAAGTGCAGCATATTTGAACTTCATAATACGAAACAGTTTTGTTCCTTCGAACGAAAAAATGAGTAAAACTGAATAATTCATTATGCAGGATTTTGTTGTAGAGAAACTTTTCCACATGCGTTTGAATGGGTAAACGGCCGGGAACTTGGAAAAAAAATAGTAATAAAAAAATTCGTTTTATGGAGTGTCGACTGTATTCGTGTTTTCTTTCTCATGCCAACTTGCCCGAAATTACAGTCAGCTTCTGATGAAATGGAACCAGTGATGGGGGAGGGGCTAGGGCAACCTGAAAAGTTTGTGCACTGCAGAGATAGAGGATTGCAATATTAAATAAAGGGGGATTCTTAACTAGCACCCAAAGATTCTCCATGGAGGTTTATCTTTGTACAGTAGCTTTTATAACACAACTCCAAGAACAGTTTTGTTCAAGCAAAGAGTTTTGGAATCCCTTCCCAAAGAAAAATTTCCCAGATTGCTTTACCCAATTGTAAGATTTTAACTGAATTCAATACCTCTAAAATGTTATATTACTCAAGTTGCTTGCTATGTCAATTTTACTATAAGTGAACATGTTTGGAACCTGCAGAGGCAAGAAAATGTGCACCCAGGGGCTGTTTCCTAAAATAATGATTTTTCCTGTAGCACCTCCTCACCTGCTCATGTGCCAAGTTTCTAGTTTCTATATCTAATCAATTCCTGGAAAGGTAGAATTTAATGGAAAAAGTCCCCCCCCCCCCCAAAAAAAAGGGAGTGTCATTCCAGGTGATATATTCCAAAATTAAGATTTTTCACTTGGCTACCGAATTTTGGCTATCATATCTTCCCTAATTGCTTGAGCAAGAAGTTTTCCAAAAAATATGTGCCAATGAAAAATGTCCCCAGGGGATGTACCCCCAAAATTGGATTTTTCCTGAAATCAGCACCCCAACAACTATTTGTTTTCCAAATATATGCTTTATAAGGGAGAGATAAGCTTTAAGAGGGAGCAATGTAGCTGTCAGCTAGGCGGTAGGCAATGAATGCATCCACAAAATTATTTGTCTCTAAGAGGAAGGCCTATCTTATTATACACATTTGTTCATTTAACGAGTGTGATACCCCATATTAGTGAAATAAAAAGGATCAGACAGGCGTTACATTCGGAACTTATATACACAGTGTCCCAAAAAACCGTAACGATGTGACTTTTGAATAACTTTTTGAATTCTACAACGATTGTGATCATGTTTATGTATTTTTGTAGAGCGTTTCAAGAGACTTTTCTGACAGTTATTTGAGCGAAAACAGTCGAGAAAAAATGAACTTACGGCAATCCTCTCAAACACCACTTTTTCGCGCCGTTGCTCTCATTTCAGCCGCCTGATTGCGTGTGCTAATATGTGCTAATTGCGTGTACAGTCTCTCTGAGTTAGAGGTATGGAACAAGTTTTAAAAAGAACCAACAACGGGGATTCCAGGAGAAATTTCGCAATGGAAATGCCCGAGGCGATCGATCGTCAAAGTTTTTTGAAAGCGCTTTTTCACCTGCATGGTGGCGCGAATCGAGGCGATTTGAAATGTCAAAACTTCGTTCTTTGTGAGTCATTTCATGGGTCTCATCTGAATCCGCTGATGAATCTGGCCTTGGCCTTCAAGGGTCATCCGAGGCCTTCCCGATCCGGGAAAGTTGCGCTACTAATCGCTTTTCTTCTTTACCGTGATTTTATCATTCCAATAAATGGTATTTGTTGCGGAACGTACAATATTTTTCGATGAAAAGGGTACCTCACAGAAACCGTAATTCTTTTCTTATTTATCCGTTTGAGTTCAACGAAGTGTCAGTTAAATTCTCTCGAAACGCTCTACAATAGTTATAAACGCGATCAGAGTCGGTGCAGAATTAAAAAAGTTAGTCAAAAATCAAATCGCCACGATTCCTTGGAACACCCTGTAATATTGGAAAGAGAATTACAGTATGGACTCGCTATCAAATTTTCATATGGGTCTTGTAAAAATTCACCTTGTGGCAGTCAGTTAAAAGGTGGCAGTAATTTAAAAACAATGTTGGAATTGTCCACTGTCCACTCAAATTCAAGCATGGTATGAGGGTCACTCAATAAGTTATCTACCTGAATAAGAAAGAAACATCCGAGGGGAAAAATAACACTTTATTTTTCAATGTAGTCACCTTTTAACTCAACACACTTATTCCACTTTGATTCCAAGGATTTTATTCCCTGGGAATAGAAGTCAACTTCTTGTCCATCAAACCAATCAGAAACGGCAACTTTCAGCTCTTCATTGCGTGAAAATCTTTTTCCCCGCAAAAATTTTTTCAAGTGTCTGAACAGAAAATAGTCACTAGGAGCCAGATCCGGGCTGTAGGGAGGATGGTTGAGCTCCTGAAAGCCACACTCCCTCACTGCTGCCTGAACTTTCCATGATTTGTGGACGGGCGCGTTGTCATGGAGAAGNCCTTGGGTCATCTTCGATTGAATCTCTTCCCCACTTAAACTGCTTGCTCCAAAATTTAACTCGGTAATAAGAAGGCGAAGACACACCATAAACGTTAGACATACGTTCATGAATCTCCTTAGGTGCTTTCCCTTCTTTGGTGAGGAATTTGATCACTGAACGATGTTCAACTTTCGTCAAATCCATGACGCAGACTCGGGAAAAGAAATCTAATGCTCTACCACTTTGAACGGACTTGAGCCACTGAGCTGGTATAGTGGTGGGGCACTCACGAGACCTGTTGAGACATGTCACAGCAGGCACATGCCTGTTGCTCATCCCTTTCATATTCAGGTAGATAACTTATTGAGTGGCCCTTGTACCACAGCCACCACTCCTTGGCACAATCTACCTTACTAATTCTCACCATCTTGTGATGAGTTCTGATTTAATTTCATCACATGAAACAATTTGAAGGAAGAACTTTCACTAATTAGTGTTGACATGGGGCACAGAGACAACCAAAAAAATCATGCATAATCTGTCCAATGGAGCAGACATACCTACATACATACCATTCTCCTTCCACAAAAGAAGACAGAAGCCACCTGATGGGCCACACTCATGCACTATGTGTTGGATAGTGCACAGCTTTTTCTGAAGCTCTGTTTGTAATTGATATTCATGGTGATCTGATGACCTGCTTGTCTGATGTATGTGACATCTGGCACCCATACAAATAATTCAATTGCCTTTTCAATTGCATATAATTTTACAATGTAGTCCCTGTTTGTTACATTCTATTTGATTGAATTTAGGGGTTAGTATTTATTTATTTATTTATTTATGAGCACTGTTTATATGGATGCTTGACCTGGACACAGGACCTCCTAGTGGGCAATAATATCTCTTGATGTTCATACACAAACCTTGTACTCTAAACCTTAAACATTCACTATCTAATATTCTTTTTTGAATTTTTACAATCTGTATGACAGTTTTTTGTTATTTTTTGTGATGACCATCATAGCTGGAGGAATGCAGTAGAGAATTTGGGCAACTGATGCAGGGGTATGAAAAGCTGTTTAAGGCATCCTTTGATGCTGACCCCAAGACACTTGTGTGTCTCCTGCTGTATCCTTTATTTTCTTTGTCCACATCCACTTACAGCACATCGATGCTTGTGAGATTAATTTCAGTATAATTAACTCAGTTAATTCATCTCTCTTTCTTCCCTTTATGAACTACCTGACATTTATGCTGTCTTATTTTCCATCTCAAAATGGACAGTGATATATCTCTTGATGAAGGACAAGAACAGGACAGTTATCTTTCTGTTAGCTTTCTACAGGAAGCATGCACTCTGTGGTTCCAATGAATTTAAAAATGCAGCTGGCATGAGCCTTGGGAAAGTGGATTGGTGCTATGATCCATCTTTATCATGATAAAGATGGATCATAGGTGATTCATTAGACATCCCTGAGGATCAAGGTGTATGCCTGGCTGACTACCAGTGATAGCTAGTAGAAACCAACAGAGAGCAGGGTACTGTGAACCAGACTCCATGAAAACCTAGCCAAAAATGTCATCCATGTATTTTATCATTACTATAATTAGGAAATAAGATCACAGACCTGACAACTTTGACTTTGCTGGAATTTCCAGGTAATGCATTTCTTAACACAACTATGGAACTCAATTTATACTCCATTGTCACACTTAGTCCAACCTATTTACAGTCCATTCTTTGACATATTTGAAACAAATTTTTTCCCACCTCTGCTAACCTGTTTACCTCAGACAATATGCAAAGGGTTAACTCTTGGGCTAGTGTAATTCAATGGACAGAGCAAGTATTGTGTGAGTATACATGGATATATCGAGTGAAGGGTTAATGGTTATTGGCAATCATGGATGCTTATGCAGTATAGGACTACATATATTGAAGTTCCATCTAAGAAGGTCACAGTTGGAAATGGTTCTAAATGTTCCATGTTGTTCATTTCCTCTGGAAACCTGAAAATTATGACATAAGGTTTATGCAACATATGAAAAATACAGTCAACTCTCAATATGCTGCCACTGGTGGTCTCAGCCAATTTTGGTGCTATATCAAAGGTGGTGCTAAATTGAAACACATGGCTTTAAAATTGAGAAATTTTCTATAATTTATATAAAGTATGCACAATTTTTCACTTTAATCTATGCAGAATACACCAACTACACACCTTTGAAAAATGATTCTATCTATTCCATCCATGATTAAATCCAATCATTTCTTATTTTAATGAGTATAACTCCCTTGCACCATCTGCTGACATTATTTCCCCAAAACAGAAATTTTGTTCGCAAGGTTTTTCTGACCTTTGACCACATACACCTCCTCAAGGCACACTTCCAATTTTTCCTTCACACTTAAGACCTTCCTTTTCCCCATCACTAGATAGTGAACAAACTTGAACTCTTGTTTGGAGAAGTTGTGTATAATGTTAATGAGACCTTTCCATTCTCCTAAAGAAGAGACACGATTAGGCTGGATGAGGGAACCCTATACGCCCCTCTCTAATCTCTGGAGGCCTATTTTAACGCTAAGTCATCCCTTAAAATCTTGATATCTATCATGCAACTGAAAGGAGCAACTGGCAGCATTACACTTTGTATGTGGTCTAATAATTGTGGCTGGTGAAGTATGCTGCTTCACATAATATCGAGTTTGACTTACATAATATAAGACATGCTTGTGCAAGTAAATGTGTTGGCAGATGGCAGCTAGCAAGGGTGGTGCTATGATTAGGGAGCATCTATGGTAAGCCTATGGGGAAGATTCGTTCTCAGAAAGGAGTTGGCAATAAGTGAGAGTGGCATTATATTGGGTGGTGCTATATAGAGGGTTAACTGTATACCACAAGACTCCTTTTGAAAACCATAATGGTGCATTGCACAATGGCTGGACTGTCACCCTATTAAAAGCAGCTTTCCATATTTACTCTTTCTCATACAAGGGTAAGTTGTTTTTTATGACCTGATTGTGATTGAGGACAATCATGTGTCAGACTACAAAAATTTTCATGGATAATTTTGACCAAGTTTCAGGGAATCAGACCCACTTTACAAGGTTGTAGAAACAATGTCATCAGTATTTCAGGATCTCACAGTCTCAATAGTATATATGTATAGTTCATCCATTCCCAAAAAGGACAACTCCTTAACTCTACCATTCTGGGTCCAGTGGACCCTAATACAAAAATTTAGCCATTTGTGTAGGCTGCACCATGAGCTTGTTAAGTCCAATTCTCTGTGTATTTTCATGAAGGTACATGATAGTAATTAAGCAAAGTATTGGAAGAGATTCAGATTGCAAGAGATTTGGAATGAAGAGATGAAACAAAGAGTTCAATATATGACCATCTGGGTTCTGGTAGTTACAGGGTCATTCGACTAAGAGTGGCAAAGTCTCATTTGTCATAATTATTTCCTCATTCTCTCCTTCCTACCTCCCAAGAAAACTGGTTTGAATGAAAGCAAAGCTGGGTCTTGACTGGCTTAGCCAGTTTTTAAGGTATGGCACTCCATAATGGGTTCATGCTGCCTGGTCCTTTCTGGGACTGGACAACCTTTGACTGATAAGTGGAAAAGAAAGGGATTAAATGAGGATTCCTTAATACATCATGGGTATTATCAGCATGGAGCATAGTTGTGGGGTGGTGAAGACAGGCATTGATGCTTTCATCCTAAGGAAGGAACCCACTTCCTCATTTGACATCAAACCCAGGTTGTGCTCTCTTGGGCCCATTTGTGCTCTTCTCACATCTCTCACATATTTCTGGATCCCATTGATCCTCTTTTCTTCTTGGGCAGGCTGAGGTCAAACCTAGAGAGTCTGGGGATTGAGATGAAGCCACTTTGGGAAGCATGTCAGGAAGCCCAGAGGGTCTTCCTGGAAATCTCCAAGTCCAACAAAGGAATCATTAACCATGAGGTTCTCAGTTTCTATTCTAATCCAAACCTTCCTCTCTATAGGACTGTGCCTCTCTCATTATTTCAGCATTTTCACATGGCTTAATATGCAAGAACCTTATCTTTTTGTCTGTTAAGGCTATCATAAGGGTTTGAAACTTGAAAGGAATCTCAGGAATGTGTAGCTATGTATATATTGACCCAACTTTTTGCATTAAAATTCAATTCATGGAAATTCCACAACTGAAATCTAGCTGGAGATGCAGCAGTGTTGATGAATTTTTGTCAATGTTGTCATCCAGACTAGTGGACTAGTGATTGCTTGATGTGTTTCCTCAGTGATTATTTATTAGCTACATTTTCTTCAGATACCAACAAAACAGTCACAATTTCTTTTGCATGTAAACATTGCAGCATGATTTTTATTTATTTTTTAGAATAATAATTTTGTCCTATTTATTCATTGATAATTTTTGAGTTTTCTTTGGCCTAAATGGGAACTGTTTTTGTTGTTCATTGTTCACATGTCTAGGAAGTTATAATTGTACATTACCCAGTATCAGCTATTGAAAGTAGAATTAACCATATTATTGCTGGACTAGTGGTATGTTGGCATATTATTGAATTTTAAAAAGTAAGGCATCTATTACTTCCAGCAGCTATACTTGACTGTCAGCACACATCATTTGAAAATAGAAGTAGGCTAATGTATTTGTGCACCAACACAGGTGCAGGCATTCAATATTTGCCCTCTAATGGCTGAGGACATGCTTTACTTACTGAGTGATGTTAATTTGTAGGAAACAGAGGTGATGATGAAGGCAAGTCAAATCCTCTCTTCCCTCCCACTTGGCCTTCCTCGCTTTTTCTTCCAGACCCTTCAGACCACTAGCATCAAGGTAGAGTCTTTCATATTCCTATTGCTTTCTCCTTCTTTCCTAATAGTAAGGAACTCCTTGGTAATTTTTTATTATTTCTTTATGATAGAGAAACTTATATTATCCATCCATCCATCCATCCATCCATCCATCCATCTATCTGTGATCATTTCAGGCTGTTTGTGACCTATTTGTGACCTCTAATAAGCTTCAGATAAAATGGATAATTGCTGAATCTTTGAAGAACTTACCCTTAGCAGACAACTGAAGTTATTTGCTATATGTCCCAGAAGGCTCTGCATTTATCTGTAATGTCTGGTTTCATAGGTATTTATTTTAAATTGGTGTTTGTGTGTGATAATGAAATCACTATAACTTTATTAATTACAAACTAATTGGCATTGGTCTTGAAATCTATCAAACATGAAAATTGGGTAGCAAGATTGAGAAAATTTTTTCATAGCTACTTGAACCAGCTGTAAGCAACATGAATGAAGTGACTAGTGACAGAAACTGAGTGGCCTTATTTTTGGGAACCCAAATAAGATGGCAGTGAGCCCACAGCCATATATGGAGGGAGGAGCCATCAGTGTCCAGACCCAGGCACACCTCACGGTCAAGGTGGAAGGGGTGATTCAACAGGGTGGAGGGAAGATCTTTCACATCCCTCACAAGATCCTCATCACAGTTCACACCCAACTCACATCCTCCAAGTCTCTCCCTCCTTCTAAGGTGAAATATGTAGACTTTATCACTAGCAGTACCTATGCCAATCCTTTGAGAACTCATTTTGTCATGTCTCATCATTTGGAGAATGACAAATGCTAGATATGGTCATAGATACAATCTGGCTGATTAGAGCATGTCAGATTGTTGCTTTTGGTGCATTCTTGAATGTGAGTATCAGGGATGAGCTATGAAAGTTTTCTGAATAATAACCCTTAAAGTGCTGAGTTTTGTCCAAGCATGTGTACCACCATTACTGTATTATTTCTTAACCCTCTATGACCCAATGTAACTTGAAAGTCGCACAGTGAATTTTGAATCTCATCATGTGGAATTTTATTGCAATGCCACTGTGACTCAATGTAACTTTGAGGTCACACTCTAGTTAACACATATCACCATGTTATTTTCCTCAAAAGTTCAAGTTACTGCAACCAGGCTTCACTCATCACCTCATACACAACCTATCTCATCATGAGCTTTACAGCAATACTGCTAGTATTGCTGTTTTTATTTTGCACTTTGTTCTTCATAGAATAAGAAAAGGAAAAGTTTTAGTATATTCCTAATTTGATTTTAAAAAATGTATTGAAATGAAATTTGCAACTTTCATCTTGGTTTAATTCTTTGAGAACAAAAATTTCATGCTAAGTATTAAAGATGTAAAAACCAATTTTTAATATTGGAAATGCTTCAAAAATTTTTATTCTATAATTTTTTTGCTATTTAGAATAATAGTAATTGAGGAGTTCTCTGGAAAAGGGGCGTATGTGCCCATACGCCTTTTTTCCATATCCATGTCCATGCGCTACTTTAGGTGACTAGTCCTTGGATAGGGTGGTCAGCAAGTAGTTAACATGCATATTCAGCAAAGGAGAAGCAGATTTTCCTTTGCTCTCACTACGTAGTGGGCCAACTGTCTGGCAATTTCAATATGGCTGCCTCCATGAATATTCCATTAGAGCTTGCATGCTGAACAATTTTGGTGGAATTATTTTGTCCTTTTAAACTGAAAGTGAAAATGAGGAAAAAACCAGGCATGAGGAAAGGGAAAGAAAGAGGCGGAGTCATTAAAGCATCTGAAAGGATATGCGAAGTTGGTGATATCCATGAAATAGTTGCAGATTTAGGTGATGAATACATTAATAATGGGTCACTGCTGAGTAATCAGTGAATGATACGTGTTCTGAATATTTGCGCTTTCATTTGTAACGGGCACGGGGCGCAGTGGGTTGGATTTATGAAAATACCAACTATTAATTAAGTTCAAATAAAAACATTACCTTAACGCACCCCGATTCCACTACAATGAATTCCTTCCAGGAAACCAGGTCCGTGCCAATTCAAATTCGAGTGGGAGTAACTAAGGCGTAATTCAAGGAAAAATATATATATATATTTCCAAAAAGAAAAATTAATAATAAAAAAAAGGACAAAGGAAATGTTAACCAAACAACCAGTCCAACCCCTTTTCAATAATTTCAATGACAAAGGGCTGGTCTTCACCTCCAGAAAAACCTTGCAAGTTCTAGGGAAAACTCACGACCTTCGAAGAGAAACGATCCTTTAACTATGTCGATGTTCCTCTGTATGTATTTTA